CTGCTGTAACTTTGTTGGCCCCATTGGCCCCATTCCGATGGTAAGTCTCTATTTAATGATTCTGTCAGTCGGATTGGGTTCTACCAGAACGTTAAGACTGGTTTACAGAGTGCGTTGAAGTCGACAGCTGAATAGGATAGCTTCCACTAGCAGAAGTTTAGAATTGCAGAGACCTGGAGCTTCGTTGACGAGAGTCTGTTCATTCGATATTTTTCCGCCTCAACAAATACTTCCTGTTTTTCTTCTAAATGAGGGGAAGTTCTAGTCTCTGTCTGTGAGTTCTCATAGTAAGTATAACTTTCGTGGAATCTCGTCTGGCTTGCTATAATGGCATTTCGCCGTTTTCCTCTTCCGTTCAGAACGGGTATGGCTCCGATACTAACTAGTATCTTCGGCAACCGTCGCGGTGTTGCTGCGCCCCAAGGTACCAGAAGACGCGGGGCAGAATCTGATCGCCGACATTCCGCGGGTGCCTCAGTTCCTCAGCAGCAGACGCGGCTGTTTGTTCCCCGGGCAACGACCGAGCCGATATAACGTTCGATGAGGGCAACGCAACGAAGGGCAGGCAGCTAAATTTTGGGGGAGACCTCGCCATGTTCCCAAACCCTCTTCCTCTTCCTTTCTCATTCGGGTTTGATGCCGGCAACAGCGGAGTTCTCAGAAATATCAACGAGGAAACGAATACAGTGTTGGATCAGACAAAGCGGTCAAAGATGCATGCGAAGTCGTTAAGCAACGGTTGTTGCTGTCTGGATGGAGTTTCAGACATATCAGAAACGGTTCAAAAGCTGCAAACAGGACAGAACCTGCGTCAAATAATGCTAAAGCTTTTTACAGAATACTGGATACAGGAAATAAGCCGGCAAGTAATGCGCAAACCTTGGTCCAAACTAAGAAAAATCGATTCAGTCCTGGAGAAGGATATGGGACAAAGACAGTGCCTCCATCAAAGAAGCTGGCTGGGTAGAGGAAATACAAATGATTTCAAATGGAATCTCTGAACAAAGAGTGGAAAAATCATCTATGAGAATGTTCCAGAGGAATCCAGAAAGAAGCAAAACTGAGGAGGGACAGGCACGGATCAGGTGCCTGTGTTCTGGCATAAACCGCAAACGCGTTTTCACCCACGATCAGCTATATTCTCACAGAAAGTGAATCAAGAGGACCAGCAACGGGCCAAGTCAACAAGTCACACATCCATGGTTAAGGGAAAGAAGACACACCTATTCTGAAGGACGAGAAGACGGCCATGGCGGTGTTATGTGACCTAACAACCGGTCGATAATGTGAATTCAGATGACACGGAATTTTCTGACGCGTATATTAGCCACTGCTGCATACGAGCATCTCAAGACGAACGAAGTCATTATTTCTGAGCAAAACCAGTGCTAGGCAAAATCAAAGGGGCCAAATCAAATGTCTCACTTTACACCAGCAGCCCATTGCACCGCCCCTTGCTTCTAGACACCTAAGGGGCCATTTAAGCAAGTCTCGACTCCATGGTATTTGCTAGTCGCATGCAGTGCATAGGGCGCTTCCATGATCCGTAGGAGAAAAAGTAACAGAATGGAACCCCGATGATCTGGAGATCGCTCGACATTATTTTCACTGTGATATATTCAGCGGCGGAATCGATAGCTCGATAGAACACCGGGCTTCAATTCTGTCAGT